CCTGTTCTCTCATCACTGTCACAGTGACAATTACTGTGATCTCCATGCACCAAGCCATTAGAAAATGTACTGGAAGTAATGCCCAGCAAAAGTCAAAGAACTGCCATGTTTGGCCTCCTTTGAGGAGCTTGTTTGCAACGTTGCCATCCCAAACATTCAAAAACTCAGATGCTCAAATTAATAAGCTTTTGATGAGACTATGTGTAATAAACAATGCCTTGTGTTCTTCTCAGTTGTCTTCCAAACTCCTGGGGCTTTAATGAATAGTTCCACATGGGTTTGATTTGGCAACCTCTAAATGAAAGCTGAAACTTGTACTTAGCCCCTTAATTACTGCAAGATCTGTTGAAACTACTTTATTAATAAATTTTGAACAGGATTGAAGTTCCATAAGCAGATTCTTTTGGTACAGAAATACCTCCTTTCATTTTTTTAGGTGCTGTCTGTTCACATCACTTGTGCAATTCATGGATTCTTGCCCAGCTAAAATTTCTAAGGTTGACAAAGGCTCTTTTGATCAGCAAAGGGTTATGAGATTTGTGGTGGGAAAAACTGCTGGGAAACCAAGGTAAATCCTCCACTTTTTCCATCCTCTGTGTTAGCTGGCTGCTTTCCATGGAAGAGAAGGAAGTGCTCCTCTCCAGCAGCCTTGGACTGAATTCCAGTTCAGTATGCTAATGACCAAATTCAAAGAATATCTTTCACCACAAGCAGAGTGTTTTCCTGGATGACTGAGAGTTCACTGACGTTCACTGCAGTAATTCAGAAGTCTGTCTCTGGCACTAAGTGCAAGTGGCCTACAAGCAGGCTTGATTATCCCAACACTTACAGGAAATCCGGAGAAATCTGTAGCTTTCAGGTGCCTTTCACCTACGTGTTGTTGCAACATTGAAAACAACAACAAAAAAAACCCCAAACAAATTAACCCAAACCAGTCCCACAACCAAAAAACAGAATTGATTTTAGATCAGACTTTTTTTAAAACTCATTTTTGATTATTTGTACTCAGATGCATATTTTCATACTTCAGAATTGCCAGGTAGAGAAAACACAGCACTCAGGATCAAGCCAATTAAAAATTTGTCTGCTTTCCAGTGGAAAAATCCAGGAGACAGGCATGGCATTGGTAAAGTTATTCATGTTATGCTGTTTTATAGGAAGAACTTCTTTTGGGGATTTGGTGACTAAGGCTGCACTTTTTCTCACCTTGGAGCAGGTGTCTTTAGGGGAGCAAGGAGAGAGTGCTCACTGTGTTCTTTTGCCTAGAAGAGCTTGAGCTTTGCTTGGTGTGTGTAAAGGCTTTGAAAGCTCCTTATAATCTCCTGCCTGTGTCACACATTCACACAAGGTCTCACAATCCAGGCCTCTGACATTTCAGCATTAGCTCACTAGAACTATTTATCTGCAGGGACATAATTGATGGACCTGGAGGTTTAACATTGCTCCACCCTGTCTTAGTACTGTTTAGTTCATTGTGTTCCAAAACAGATCACAACCACTTGGGATGAGGACTAGGGCACTTTAAACAAGTATGATCCACTAAGCTCTCTGCAGTCTAAGAGTTCTTCATCTTGTTCCCACTGACATGAATTGTTATGTGATACCCATTTAAGATTTCACTATTCAAACAGTTGGATAAAGAATTAACAACTTTCTTTGGCACAGTTTAATTAGCAGAGGTGCTTGGCACCACTCACCATATGGAAACTGCCCAGGGCCAGAAGCTGTGATACTCCTGGTTAGTCATCTCACTAATGACAAGATGAACGTTAGCAATATTTTCCAAAATAGCATGGCATGGGCATTTGAAGAAACAGAAAAGAAAATATAAGACAAAAGAAAAGGAAGCCTTAGTTCAACTGCAAATCCATAAAATGGAAAATGGACACCATAATTTTGTTGTATTTTAAAGTATCCCCTTACAGTGGGCAGGTACTGGAGTTTGGAGTCCTATCTCCTAGAGCAAGGTGATCATATCACTGGCTGCACTCGTGCACTACAGTTAGGCTTTGTGAAGATGAACTCCACAGCGTTTGTAACCCACAGATGTGAATCCTACAGCATCCTAACATCAGCTCCTGGTAAGGCCTCCTAACCCAGACAAGATGCCAAAGAAAGTGGCACCTTTGAACCAACCTCTCTGCCAAAGTTATCCTGCACAGATGCTTAACTGGAATAACCAGATTGAGACATGATGCTGGGAACTATGCTGAAATATTGTAGTGTTTACTGATCATGCATCAGAGGCTTTGGTATTTGGGTCATCCTAATGCTTTGGTCTCCTGCTCCTGTGTCATTCTCTCACTGTGCACACTCGCTCTGTTAAGGCTTTGTCTAATGCTGGGGTCCTTTAATGCTGCCTCTAAAACCTCCATTTTGTGCTGAATTTGATTGTAACTGGGTTCAGTCTGTGTCACTGTCAAACTAAACTTTTGTTTTCTTAACTGTCTAATTACTGCACAAGACAATCCTTGTGGGAGCCTAAAGAGGTTTTTCCTTGCCTGTTATTTATAAGTTTCCGTATTATGAGAGAGGCTTTAAACTTCTCTGGATAAATTATGTATAGGTAAAATACTGGGGTTTTTTAATTAACATGTTCAATAATAATTATGTTTAATTAGTTCAGACCTGCATTGCTTGGCCTGTATATTTCTGGTTTCTCTAATTATGGATTAAAATTAAGCTTTATAGTTTTATACTGAAGGGGTTTTTTTAAGCTGAAAACAATAGTTGAAAGAAGTAAACAAATACAGGATTGTTCTACTCTGTTTCCCCAGCATGTCTACAAATACAGAAGTACCTAAAACTACTTTAAGTGTCAAAGAATTTCTGTAAAATTCCTTAAAACTCGTCTACAAACTCCCCTGAAGAACTTCCTTTAATTAGCTGAAAGGCTTTTGAACAGTTGTGATTCAGTCTGAGCCTGACAGGCTGATTCTTTATACAGGGCAAAACATTTTTAATGGACTTTTTAGGGAAGTGTAAGCTATGGACAAAAATTAATGTGGTGTGGATAAAGCCAAGGGGAGGGGGATCCTGTGGCACAACAAAACAACTTGACATACTTCCAGCCTTCTCTAGGACTGTTCCAGCCCACTATTTTAACCTTTGCTGCTACTGCTCCCCCAGAGTGGTTTCACTTTTGGAGGGGTGTGCTGGGCAGGGAAAGCTGATGCTGGTCAGAGCTGTCAGCAACAACCCCCTGCACACTTCCCCTGCAGTGCCCCCTCTGGGGCCACACAGCACCAGCCACAGGATTCCATGATGAAAGGGAATTTCCCATGGTCACAGGAGGATTAGGCAACTGCCTTGCTGCTCCTTCCTTCCCTGTGGAGGGGGGTTAGGATTTGATCCAAAACCAACAGAAGTGTGTGGACAGAATTTCATTCACTGACACTGGTTTTATGTCAGCCTCTATAAATAGAAAATCTTCCCGGAGCAGAAAGTTTGCATAAGTGTGGTCAGCTGAAAGGACTGCTCTTTCCTAAAGTCCCCACCCTGCACCCAGCAGTCCCACCAACCTTCAGTGGGAAGGTACATGTTGGGGGCCCAGCAGGGACACAATTAGGCCTTATAGAGTTTTCACAAAATTAAAAATACACTGGACTTTTGGCATTTTGTAGCCCAGCCTCCTGCTCAAAGCAGGGCTACCAGCAGTGCTGGGTCAGGTCAGCCATGGTTTGTCTAGCAAACTCTAAAGAACCTTTTAAAGGATGGAGACTCTGCAGCCTGAGTGGCCCATTCCAGTACTGCATTACCCACCAGTGAATGGTTTTTTTAGCATCTGGCTCGAACCTCTGAATCAGAGACATCTGCCTGTGCCACTGGTGGTTATCTGCCACTATGGAGAGAATTTGTCTCTCTTCATACCTGGCCTAGGTATTCCAGTTGATATCCCCTCGGCCTCCTGCCCCTGCCTAGGCAGGACTGGCTCACTCAGCCCCTGGTTGGCAGGTCTGTGCTCCAGGGCCCCACCTCGGTGGCTCTGCTGCATCCTCTTCAGTCTGTCCACATTTGCTTTGAACTGAGGGCCCTAAAGTTGACTCTGGTATTTCAGCTGCAGTTCCACCATTCCTGACTCCTGAGGTGTGGTGACTGCTCTCCCTTCCCTGCCTGCATTTCTGGTGTGCCCAGCGTGCCACTGCCCCTCTCGTGATGAGGGCACCCTGACTCTCACCAGAACCCCCCTCCAGCAGGGCTCTTGCACAGCCAGATTTCTGTGACTCCCCCTCGCCCCTGTGCCCACACCTACAGAAACCCGGCACTTATTTCCTGTTTTGAGATCCACTCGGTTTAAAGAGTTTGAGGGTGTTTTCCTTGTGCTGTCAGCCTGACCCAGGGCAGAGCTCAGCACCGGTGTGTGCAGCCCTGCCCTTTCCAGCCTGGCTGGATCCAACACGGCGCTTTTCCCTGCCAGCTTTCGGCGCTTTTCCCTGCCAGCTCTTTCCTCCTGCCATTGCTCCTTGAGGGAAAAGCGGCTCTCCCAGCCCTGCGTGTGTGATCGCGCTCGTGTGCGGTCACTACAGAGTTAGTCTGAACCAGGAAACACCGAGGGAAGGCACAGCAGCACAGCCTGCAAGGGAAGGCACATCAACACAGCCTCCGAGGGAAGGCACAGCAGCACAGCCGAGGGAAGGCACAGCAGCACAGCCTGCAAGGGAAGGCACAGCAGCACAGCCGAGGGAAGGCACAGCAGCACAGCCAAGAGGCAAGGCACAGCAGGCACAGCAGCACAGCCGGGGAAGGCACAGCAGCAGCACACACAGCACAGAGGGAAGCAGCACAGCAGCACAGCCGAGGGAAGGCACCAGCAGAACAGGCAAGCAGCCACAGGCTCCAAGGGAGGGCACAGCAGCACAGCCGAGGGAAGGCACAGCAGCACAGCCGAGGGAAGGCACAGCAGCACAGCCGAGGGAAGGCACAGCAGCACAGACTCCAAGGGAAGGCACAGCAGCACAGCCGAGGGAAGGCACAGCAGCACAGCCCTGACTCGGCAGCACAGCTCGGGCTGTTCGAGTCCAGCTCCCAGCCGGCTCACACCTGCAACAGTTTCACTCCCTCCTTCCACAGTTTTTATGCTTCTCTTTCCAGAGGTAAGCTGATTTTTATTTCCAGTTTCTTTTCCTGAGACATCTATATATGTTAACATAGAGATTCTCTCGTACTAAGGAAATATCTTTGCTATGAGTTATTTTTAAGAAATTACTTTATAATTAGAAACTTGAAATGAATAGCTTTATAGAGTCTTCCTCATGCCCCTGCCTGCACAGATGGGACAGGATGGCAAAGTTATCCCAGACTTACTAAGAAATAATACTAAACTGTTCCTTGCATAGGTCACCTACAGAATACTGGTTTGGGGATTTGATGGTGAGATTTTAGAAGGATCTAGGAGAAAAAACATTCAAAAGAGCAGAACTATTGAAAAAATGTCTTTGTTACCTTGCAATCTGGAGATTACAGAGAGACTTTGTTATCTGTAGTTCCTTGACAGTTCCATATTCAGTGATTAGACCTTCCAACTTCATTGCACTGTGTTTGGAGTTGAGTACATTCTTTTAGCCATTTAAATTATTACTTATTGCTGTATATAATAAAAAGGAGACATAATTTTGCTGCTGACACCTTTTGATTACCTCCTTTATATTTAAGATTGTTAGATCTGTGTGGTCTGTCTTTGCAACTTTAAGGGATAAATGGCTCATTTGGAAATTTATCTTCATTCAAAGGAATACTTTCAAATTTTATGAAACTGTTAAACTCTCTGTCAGCCTCATACCATACTGGGTTTATTCTTTAAGGAAGCCCTTAGAGAAGCACCTAAGGCAGTTATTGCTTTAAGCTACAATAATGTAACAAAAGGCAAAAAGTTCAACTGTGCTTTCCTATCAGAATGAAATGCTGTCAAAGCTGAACTGGTAAATCAGCTGCTGTGCTTTTATTTGCATTTTGAGTATGGTTGGGTGCAAAACTGAGGTTAGTACCCCTCTGGTTGTGGATGTGCCTGCAGGGAGAGACTGAGGTTAACTGAAAGTAAATTGGTCAGGAACCACAAGTTCAGCCAAGATCAGGGGCTAATTTATCTTCTGGTTTTTGTTTCTATTTCACTTCTGCTCAAAGTCAGAAGACTTTCAGGCCTTCTGCATCCCAGGAACTGTTTTTGTAGAGCACAATTCACACTCAATAGTCCTTCACAGTTACTTGAGTCCCCTCATCTCATTCCTTTTCTAGCCCAGGTCTGCTGAGCTACACTTTGAGTTGTGACCCACTGACTGCTGACCCTGCAGTGATCCTTACCAATGCTTTTATGCCATGTGTTTTCTTAGATTGCCTGTTTTCCTCCTTCACCGCTGACTTTTTGTCACCTCTAGTCTAATGGAGCTTCAGAGATGTAATTAAAACTGGTACTCACATGGTCCGACAGTGATGCTTTGCAGAAGTTCTCTCTAATCCACGTGTGTTGCCATGCAAAGTGTCTCAGACGTGCAGCTGGCCTGGAGAGGGGCTGTACAGGGACTGTACTGGCCAAATTAGGGGCTGCTGTAAAGACACAACTCCATTTATCAGAATTCTGCCAGTCTACAACAGCAGAAAATTTGCCTTTTACCTTGCTTTTGCATTCACATGTGATTTATTAAAGAAGATATGCAAGAATGATGCAGAACATGCTGACATGTTATTGAATAATTGTCTTTTCAATCTAACTGTAAGATGCTAGTTTGTTGTCCACATAAATTCAGTATCACTTTAAAATCACACCTTTTAATATAAATAATGGCCTAACATTTCAAAGTCATCAGATGGAAATGATGAGCAACTAATTAGCACCTTGCAGCCTCAGATGGCAAGTTAGGTGCAGACACTCCTTGGCAATTAGTGCATTTTTCCTGTCTTTATACAGGAAGGCTTTTGCATTAGGGGTGGTGCAACTTCACTGTGCTTTGGTAGTAATGACAAAAAGTAGTTCTTAGAACATTTTTCTTTTCTGCTTTTTCCCTCCATCAAGAAATGGCCAATCCACTGCCTGTGATAGCCCAGGAAGATTTGGAAAGCTTTACAGTGACCAGAACAGGCTCAGGCTTTGCACTCAAAGCCTTCCACATCTCTTGGAACACTCCCATCTCTGTGAAGCTGCTGAGCAGCCAGGACACTACAGAGAGGTGGGTGTCTGATCTGCCAAGTGACCCCCAGGGGAGCCCAGACCTGCAGCGGGGCCGGGGCCGTCTGACCCCAGCACAGCTCCAGCCTGGAGGCACCTGTACTCACAAACAATGGCTTTGGACAATTCTTGGTAGAAGTAGAGCTTACTCCTGAAGTAATTAATTGTGTACTATAATCATGTATACAAACCCTGATCAGTAATCCCAGCATGGTGTGGGATTATCTTTCTGGAAGTCCCTAAAGAGATCTCAGCTGAATTTAATCAAAACCAGCACGTACAGGTGAGAGTAGGAAACATGGGCAGGATTACAGTGCAGTGAGATGTGCATGGAAGAACATCATTTCCTGGGAAATGGGAATGTCACTTACAGCAAAAGGACACAATACAAGCTTTCTCCTGCCTTCACACTTCAATCCCACTTCAAATTGTACTCTTATGTCCATGTTAAAGCATCCAGAGATCTTTCACTTTATATTGCAAAAACACACTACACGAGGGATTGCTTCAATTTCTTAGAATTGTTTGGAAGATTACATAATACGTGTTTATTGGTAGAATTATATTGCCTTGTGACCAACCATATGGTTCTCTCTCATTTCCACACCCTGCAGTGTCTCATCTCCAGCTGGAGCCCCCTTCAGTCTCACCTGCCTCTAACTGGGTCTTTTTTACAGGGAGTGGAAGTTGCTGCTTCAGGATATAGCAGGTGTCAGAGGTTGTGAGTCTGAACGTCTCCTGCCTCCCCTGGGGATTTACCAATGCCATGGACTCGTGGGGTTGGTGACTGGATGGATGGACAATGGATCCCTGCACTCGCTCATCCATGAGGTACAGAAAAGGTGTCATCTTCTGGGTGGCAAAATTAATTAAAATATCAGCCAACGAAGAACAATCAGCATGTAAATTATGGTCACAATCTGTTCTTCAGTTTCTGGATTGTGCTTCTGTTTGGTGGTTCTGTTTGTTGTCAAATGAAAACGTAAATAGCAACAATTTCACACCAAACCCTGTATTTTGTGTAACTCAGCGTCAGCTGTACCCAGAACTTCCATGTCCCTTACTCCTGAGGATCCTGGCAGATGTGGCTGAAGGGCTGCATCACCTTCACAGCCTCCAGCCTGCCTCCTGCCACTGCAGCCTGAAACCTTCCAATGTGCTTCTGGATGGACAGTACAGAGCCAAGGTAGGAGCTTCAACTTTTCATCTGTTAATGTAAAATCCAACTGCATATATTTATCTGAAGAGTCAACATTTAGTACCAAGACTTGATGGACTGTTACTCAAATGATTTTTTTCTCTGTAGATATCAGATTATGGTCTAACCAACTGGAGGAAACAGCAGCTGAGGTCAGCCCTGCAGAATCAGAGGAGCTGCCAGGATTTAGTGTACCTCCCTCCCGAAATCCTTGAAGGAGGCCTTCCTTCCCAGGAAGGTGATATTTACAGGTGAATGGAATTTTAAGGGCAGGTCATACCTAGTCCAGGCTACACTCTACAATGTTGCCAAAATACTTATCTTCAGACATAACAGTAAAAATGCCAGACCTTGGATAGACTGTCTTGAAAAACTCCTTTTTCTTAAAACAATAAACTTGCTCTTAGAAATGAGAACACAGATACAGATTGCAAACTAATGAGTGGTCTTCCACTGTTTTGGGTTTTTATTTCAGTTTTGGAATAATGTGTTGGGAGAGCCTAAGCAGACAGAAACCTTTTGAAGGTATTTTTCTCTGTTATTCATGTCAGACTTTGTATTGTCCAAATCTTGTCCACAAATTCCCTTATTTTAGGGAAATTATGATACAAACAGCACTGTCTTTTCAGATGTCCCTTTGCCTTCTCTTACAGCACAAAGCTCCACATTCCAGGATGTAAAGATTAGGATTTCTCAACAAACCCTCAGTGTTTCCAAAGAAGTGATCTCTCTTCCCCCATTTGTAGCATCTCCCTGTGCTTGCTGAGGCACCGTGTCACTGAGCTGGGTTTCAGCTTGCCTGTAGGGAGCAGGAATACCACTTCACCTTTGTCAGTTATTAAGTGACAGGTAGTAATTGAATGGGCATAAGACTAATTTTTACAGTTGCCATGAGTTTTAAATACCAATCAAGAAATGTCAGTTCATGCTGAATCCTCTTCAGGAAGCATCCTTACTTTCTTTGTGTAAGGATGCAAGTGTAAGGCTCTAGGAATGCTCTCTGTTTCGTGCAAGTGGAGATCAGTGAAAGCTTCATTCTGCATGGCAAAACTGATGGAAGGACTCCTGCATTCTACACACTGAGAACCCCTGAAAAACACTGCCCAGAACAGTATCTCCATGTGTGTACAGCTTGTGGCTGCCACCTTGAGGCTGCTCCAGCTGGGGGTTTTGTACAGTAGGAGTTCTGTTCTTATAATGCAAGAGTAAGGCTTTTTACAAAACTATGCTTAGAATAATCACATGTATTCCTGAGGTGTCTGTGCATGTAGTTTACAATGCAGGTTTATATATCCAATTTATGACTCAGTGTTTGGACAGAAGTCTTTATCCTGAAATATCCTGTTCCAATCAATAAGTAGCTATAGCTACAGTTAAAGGTTATGGTAAAAGAGTGTTAATACATTTTTACTTTAAGAAAAACAGTCTTTGTTTTAAAATACATAATATGACTTATGCTGAATGTAATTTAAAGAGAGTTTTGAGGTCTTTAATATTTTTTGCAGTGACATTTTCTTTTAAACTGCAGGTCAAACAGCCCTGCTGGAGGTTCTGACAGGAATCTGCTGCAGTTCCCGGCCTGGCCTTTCAGAAGAGTTTATACCAAGCAATTGTCCTGAGAGGAACAGACTATTGCACCTCATTGCTCTGTGCTGGCACCAGGATCCAGCTCACAGACCACGGACTGCAGGTGACATTGAGGATGTGCTTTCTGTGTGAGATCTGTGATGGAGAGGGTCATTCCAGGACCATTATTTAGCACTCCAGATGCAGCACAGCTGAGGTGGGAGGGGGCTTTAGACCCTCGGAGTACCTGAGATATTCCTTCTGACTGAAACTTCTCACCATAAATTGCCTTACTTGTCTCCAAAACTGTGTTTAGTATAACGTAAAAATACAGGAAGGGATATTATTGTTCATATATATACACATATCTAATATATCTACACTAGCTTAAGAAAGATCAAACTGCCCTAAGCATTTCTCAATTCCAATGCATAACCAGTTCCTTTTGAAGTGTGCTATCATTGTCTACTTTAGTGGAATTGGTATGTTTAGCATCTGTTTTTAAAAAGATTACTGAGAAATGTTAAAATTGTGATATTTGAGGGCTTTTGAAGTTGAAATGCTGAGGAAACTATTTGCATATAGCTTTATTGTGATGGATTTATTGTGTCCTGAGTAAACATTCTGCAATTAAGTTCATACATCTGTGTGAACTTTTAAGAAAATATGATTTTCATGTGACTGGAACCGTTCTTTAAAATCAGGTCAAAGAGGAAACCAAGAAAAAGTATGAGGTGGAAGTTGTGTTAAAACTCATTTTGTCTAGTTCATACATCTTCTCAATATAATAGTGAAGTTAGTTGCAACATGCTGATGTCTAAATATATATATGTTTTCATACACAATGTGGTATTTATAATGCTTTATTACCCCTGCAGAATGTGTAGATCTTCTAAATGGAATTTTGACTAGTATAAATAAGGAGGTAATTTCCACAGCAATCTACAGTCTGATGGATGCAAAGGTTAGTGCAAAATTAAGTTTCGTTCTCCTACAAGGATTTTACTTGATTTGTTCAATTACAATCTTTGTGATCCAAACCCAGGAAAGGCCTTGTGTTGATTGCTTTAATGGCTGCACCAGAGAGCTGGAGCATACCCTTTGGCACTCCAGGCTCATTTAGAAACTGTAGAAAATATATTGGGAGGTTCTCTAGAAAATAAATCAATTGATACCTGCTATTTTAAAAATATGAGAGCTTCTTTCCAGTCACCACCTGTCATCAGCCTGGTAAACCCATGTGAGTAAGAACAAATATTAGCCTCAAGTCCTTCAGATTAGGGCTAGAACCAAGGACAATTTTGTGTGTACTGGTTCCAAACCAAGTAGTTCCAAACCTGGACAGTCTGTACCTGCTGCAGCAGTACCATATCAGCACTGTTCTGTGCCCTGCACTGTTCCTACATTGACATGCTTTCAGGAACAAGGCAGTTCTTGTCCTACAGTCTCAGAGGGTTCTCTGATGCCACAGGGATGGGTTGGGAATGGCCAACAGCTGAGGGACAGCTAACTCCATGTGTGTCTACAATGCCATGGGAAATCTGGCCCAAACGTGACTGCCACAAACAGAGCTGTCTCCTACCCAGGTAACAGAGCCAGTCGTGGTGGGGAACCAGGGGATGAGCTGCAGCCCTCAGAGCAGCCTTCTGACTGTGCCTGCAGTTACACAGCCCGTGCTGCACCCTCGGTCTCATTGCTGGGCCTGGGTGTGTTGTGTGAGGCATTATTTCTACCTGTTGCAATCACATTCTGGGATTGTAGAACAGACTTGATCAATGTTTTAGTAGCTGGCATAGTTATAGTCAAAGTCAATTTTACTACTGTTGAAGTTTATTACCAAATATTCCATAATCTAATGCTTTGGTTGCCCTTGAGCAAGGTTTAATTTTTCTATTTGCTGAATTAGTGAAGAGCACTATTTATTGTTCAAACTGATAAGTCTAAAATTACTGTGAAAGTGGTACTGAAGTTTCTTGAAAATTCTTCACAACTGTTGAAGTATAAAAACTAAAAAATAGTTTAACAATCTGCTGTGGATGTAGGAATGGGAAAACAGTTACAAGTATTGACACACCCTTATTGCAGACAGTTTGGCACACTAACAGAGCATGGCTGTGCTGTTTGGATCCTTGAAGGAAAACATGTTATAGCTAGCCCAATCTCTCTCAATATAGGCTTATTTTCACCTTTTCCTGCGTGAGTCAAAAATGGGTTTTAAAATAAATGTGAAACACCAGAAACAGTAAGAGGGTAGAATTTTGTGTCAGCTTCTATGCCCACTGACATGTGTTAAAATGTAAAATTGCTCAGTGCAATTCATTGTTAGCACATATGAGCACACCTTAGAGTATAATATCAATATCCATTGTCAGTATAAGTTCTTGAACAACCCCCATCCATCCTCACTGGAGTTCCTGTGCTTTCTCCTGCCAGGAGAGAGCGCTTGATGCTTGCAAAGGCTCAGCCACGTACACCCTGCAGACAGGCACCTGCAACTCAGAGGTGAGTACAGGCAGGAGAGTCTGCAGGAGCTGCTGCTCTCTCCTGACAGCCCTGCCAGTGCACAGTGCAAACACAATGCATAGTGCAAAATGTCCCTGCCCAGGGTAACTCCCCCCAGGCAAACCACAAACCCCACTGCTTTACCTGGTTCACAGCAACCAACCCTGACGTGGCTCTTGCAAAAACAACATCTTCCACTTCAGATTTGTTCTGAACCTCTCCTGTTTAGAAAAGGGTTTGGAACAAAACTTTCCAAGAAGGTAACTCTTCTCCATTTTGATCTCTTTCAGATCATCTGTCCACCAAAAAACAACCGCTTAATCAGCAAGAAAATTCCTTTCATAGTGCCAAGCTCAACTGGCCTACTTGATAGCAGTGGAAATAATGCAGGAAGAGAGAATATTCTTGAGATGGGTCTGCCAAATACTATCCCACAGAATGCAAAAACAAGAAAAGGTGTCTATCTTGAACTATATTTAGCTCCAGCTATTATAAGAAAAGCATAACTATTACTAGTTGTTCAATACAGAAATGTTATTTTCCATGTAAAATTGTCCCTTCTCAGAGTAAAGCTGTGCCTTCTACTGGTATAGTCTGAAGTGTGAGTTCACTGCAGGAAACCAGAGACACCACAATGTTTTTTGATTAAATGTATAGATAGAAAAGCTAGGTTTGCTAATTTTTTTCTAGAATACTGAGCTGTAAATATAGAGCTGCCTTTCCCTCACACATCAAATATTGAGTGTTGGTTTTGACAGAACAAGTCCCTCCTGGGAATTCCACCTCTTTGTGCCACCAGGAATAACTGCTTTTTCTGTAATTTGCTAAGAAAAGAAGATATGTTTTAAAAAGACTATGTTGCCAGGAACGTGTGAATGATTCCTGATAATCACCATTCCCATGTAAATAACTTCCTTTATCTTTCCAATGTGGATTTGTCCTATCAAAATGTTTACATTTGTGTCAATAAGTGATTTTCTGTACTTCCCATGCTTTTGGATACAAAAGTTGAGACACAGGAAATCAATTCACTTGTAGCAACATCTGCATTTCCAAGCCCTTTAGTTCTGACCAACAGCTCAGACTCATCACAGCACAAAACATTCCATGACTTCAGTAACAAATTCCTGCAGGCAGTTTGGAAAAGTCTGGTGTGTGTAGTAATATACACCAAAATCTTCCTAGGAATAATGGTGTAGAACGAAGAGCCAGAAGAACAGGCAGTAATAAGTAAGCACTCTCAAGTCAGTCCTAAGTACCAGTCTTCTGCAGTGGGTGACAAAGGTATAGTGGTTTGTTGTTGTTCAACTCAAGGGTCTAATCTTGCTCATCTTAACCTTTTCTAGATCATCCAGGCTCTGAGAGTAGAAAACCACACTTGTTTAGGAAGATTCCTTTACGTGGTTCAGCTGCAGACACACAAAGCAGTCAGGATGTGGCCCCACTGCTGGCTCTCCAGCACAGCCCACAGCCAGTGCACCCTGGACAAGCAGTGACAGGTGAGGCACCACTCCCAGCTTGAGCTGGCAATATTTGCCTTGGCCAGATCTTAGTGATAAAATTGTTTAAAATATTTCTAAATATTAAGATATTTCTAAATTTTGTGCACATTTTTAAGTATTTAGTGTAATAGGTGCTCCTAATTTGATACAAATGTCTCACGAGTCTATTTATGTATAACTGCTCCTCTCTTCCCAGAAGTCTTGGAAATGACCATTGAGAACATTGGCTCCAGGGTCATCGCCCAGAACATTCTTTCCAGGATCACTGTGAGGCTGAGAATGGTTCTGAAAAGACCATAATAAAAATACAAAATATACACCACATATTGAGTGTGAAATACACTAGTTGTTTAAGTCTGGGATTATTTGTTTTGCAGTCTTTAGCTGTGCATTGTATACCTCTACAAGAGTAGCTACTGACCACAGGAACAGGTGACAGGGTGCCCTCCATTCCCTTACTCCCATGGTCTCAGGTCTCCCTACAGAACAGAGGCAGAAAGGCTCAGCTGCTGGTTTGGGAAGCCTCACTCTGCCTGTGGGTGAACCTTTGGGAGCTGGTTTTGCTAACTTTTTGCAATCTGGCTTATGATAGTTCTCAGCCTAGCTGGCCTTCTCCATGGCAATTCACTTGATAGATGACATAATTTCTGAATAAATCAACAGACTAGATCGTGCAGGAAAAGTTCATCACACAGCACTACAGCAACAATCAGAATGACAGAGGCATGTTCTCCAAAGCAACATGGCTTCTGGTTCTTAATTTTCTCCTGTACACTAAAAACCCTGATGTCAGTACTAAGTGTTCTAATCACTTTGTGAAAAGAGACAGAACCCAAAGCTCTCGACCATTTTGCCAAGAGTATAACTTTTCTTATCAGTTTGACTTTGATGTATATTCATTTTCCCAGTTTCATGCTATGTTTCAAATGCTCCCACTACCCTAAGCTGTTGTCTGTCCTTCCACTTTTGACAGGAGAAAGTTTTCTCATCTGTGTCAAGCCAAGCTGCTTTGCATGAGGTTCGATACAGATGCTCAGTGAATAGCACAAAAGACCTGAAAATCTGCTCCCCTAAAAAACTGAGCACTTAATGGTCTTTAGAAAGATCTGTAATCTGATCTTCATGAGTTTCAAACAAAAGATGAAAATACTTTGGACTAGTTTTGAACATAGAATGCAAATAAACTAACTCTTCCCACTTCCTTCCTCTACTGAGTTTATGTTTCTGGTGTTGATGTTACCACTTGCTAAAGACTTCTAGAAGAAAATAATACTAGTTTAACACGTTTTGTTTCCTTTTCCCCTTCCACTTCCTTTTCACTTTTTGTTTCCAGGTCCTTGCTGCAAAGGAAACTTCTGCCAAATCCTCACCTGCCAGAGACAGAGCATACTGAGCTGCATGACAGAGGGGCGCCTGAACCACCTGCTGGACGTGCTCCGCTCGCAGCAGACGCTGTCCCGGCCGGACTACGAGACCATCAGCTCCCACCCCACCGTGACCGGCCGGGCCCGGGCCCTGCTGGACACCTGCCTGTGCCTCGGGGAGAGGGCAGCACAGGGGGTGCTGACTGCACTCTCAGGGACCAAATGCAGTCCTCTGGGACAAGTCAGCCACTGCCCAGACTGCCCTCTGAGGTGACAGCTGCTGCTGTGATGCAGTTCTTTGCAGTGTTACACTCCTCTGAGCACCGGTGCTTTGTCAGGGCAGTGACTCACATTGACTCCTCATACCAGCGACCAAAGGCAATCCTTCCTACAGCCCAGCAGTTTTGTAAGATTGAAAGGCTTCAGAGAATCAAGAACTATTTCTTCAACAGGGCCTTAAGGAAGACTTGGAAGTTGTACTCGGATGGGAGCCTGCCTGGGAATACTGAGTGCTGGAGGCTTCCTTGCCTTCTTCTGAACTTCTCCATGGACACGGATGCTTTGGAGTGTCCTGCTGCTGCCTGGACTCATCCACAGGTCACAGACCCTTTGAGTTCACACTGGAGTTCCAGTTTGTCCAGTACACAGAAACACTGCTGTTATCAAAATGTTCCCAGGCACAGCAGAGTAAGATAAGTGGTACAGCAAGCAGTGGCAGCAAAAAGCCAGCCCCCAACAAGCACTAATGTACAGGAGGCAGCAAGCCCCATGGCAAGCACAGAGCCTGTCAACAGCTCAACAGCAAGAGCAGCTATAAATGTGATCTAGCACATTCCAATCAAATCTGGTGTTGCCTTGGACCCTTCAAGCCTTGCATTGGGTGCTGTGAATGTGTGAGCTCTGCTCAGCAATAACAAAAACACCCCTGAATTATCGACACTGTTCTCGGCACAAATCCAGAGCACAGCCCCAGAGTGGCTGCTATGAAAAAATTAACCCTACCCCATATCCAAAACCAGCATGACTGTGAAGGAAAATAATAAGATTACTCTAATTATAATGAAAATGATGATATAAGATGCCAGTTTTTTGAAGGCCCAGTGGGATTTCAAGCTCCACGGCACCAGATTAACATGAGAATTTATACAATCTACAGGTATTTCAAACACAAAACCATGTTACTCTGTTTCTCTATGTTGCTTTTGTTCTCTCTGCGGTCTCAAAGTGCTCACTGAATTCAGCAGTTTGGCAGATTGCAATTTTAGAGATAAGGAATTTGTGACATCAAATTTCCAGCTACAGTACTGCTGAAAGCACAAACGTGACTTTCTTTTACATAACTTAATTAAACTTTGAGATTGCCTGGAGATAAAATATTGTTACTATTAAAAGTAATGTCTATCAGGATGTGTTGACAATAGTTTTGCTTATTAAAGGAGCTAAATATCTATTTCACAGTTAATTGTTTTTTCAATCTACACTTCAAATGTGAATTTTCAACAGTCTCTGCTAAAAAAGGGATGTGAGGAAAAGAACTGCTGTCACAGGGTTTTGCCTCTTTAGAAGGCATAAAATAATCTGAGCAAAACAAATAAACATTCACCTGTGGGACACAGTTCCCAATTTTTAAAAGAGAAACTGGCAATACTGCTGAAACAATTATCAGCTTCTGTTGGACACTTTATGCTTCTGTGACAGATGTGCTGGCTGACAGGCTATGCTGATTTTTTGTCATTATGTTTTTGACACAGAAATAGTTTCAGCTCTCTTAGAAACAGCTGCCTACTTCAGAAAATAATCTGATGCCAGGCCTAAACCCAGTCTCCAATGTTAAATGCAGAACTGGCATCAAAGCAGTGGGAGCACAAGTTATCAGCGTGGTGGTTTTGAAGGGATGATACCAGTTTGTTGGAATGACACTGCTGTTGATATAAAAAGTTTTCATCCCAAACTAAAATACAGTAAAGTGAAAGCAGCACCATTTTGTCTCACCAAAAATCTAAACTCTCTTAAGGCCTGTAGTGTGTTGGCTGTGGAGCAGTGTCTGATGCTGCTCACTGGTGTGGAACATCCAGGGGCTCAAAGCCTGTGGTGTTCTGAGTGTGCCCAGGCTGGTGGAACATCAGGGGCTCAAAGCCTGTGGTGTTCTGAGTGTGCCCAGGCTGGTGGAACATCCAGCTGCTCAAAGCCTGTGGTGTTCTGAGTGTGCCCAGGCTGGTGGAACATCCAGGGGCTCAAAGCCTGTGGTGTTCTGAGTGTGCCCAGGCTGGTGGAACATCCAGGGGCTCAAAGCCTGTGGTGTTCTGAGTGTGCCCAGGCTGGTGGAACATCAAGGGGCTCAAAGCCTGTGGTGTTCTGAGTGTGCCCAGGCTGGTGGAACATCCAGCTGCTCAAAGCCTGTGGTGTTCTGAGTGTGCCCAGGCTGGCTCTCCAGCTGAGATCCTATGGCCCTTGTGCTGCAGTTACCTTGCTACTGCAAAATAGGGTAGAATAAACAGCAAAGACAGAAGAATCAAACTGTTCTTTAGTATCTGTGGGAAGGAACAAGGCTTGAATGTGAACAACTGGAGTTCCAGGAAGGAAATATAAAACATGGGAAACTCTAGACAGCAAAGGGGATAAAAAAACAAAGTCACTTCAGGACCAATTAGGAAAGCTCTCTGCTGCAGTTACTTAGAAAAAAAAAACTAAAATAAATAGATGTTAAAAATTACAAGTCATATTCAAATTTCATGAAGCTATTTAAACTTATTAAAGGAACAGTAAGTGGGGTAGGCAGATGGTTATTTTCCTGACTTATTGTAATGTATTTTTCTTCTTGATGCTGGTTGCAGCTATCTTTTGCTGATTTGCAAAAAGATGACTGTCCCTTGCCCTTTGTCCTATCTATACAACACTTTTATCTGAGCTGGGATACTTCCTGCAATGTAAGAATGTCTGCACTAGAATTTGCTTGAGGTTGATTTGTGGAAAATTAATCTGAGATACTGGAATGAAATGTTTAAGAGATTAGTTTTTCCAGGAGAGAGCAAGACAAACAAAGCTATAAATACCACTCAAATGCTGTTACCAGTACCTGCTAAACAGTTCCAGAGAACTTCAAAGGAAGATAACAAGTGCATATTCATAAAACACTAATCTACAAAATTTCAAAAAATGCATTAATGGACTGCTGACATACACAGAATTTTACACCACATGAGTAGTCCAAAATGTACAGACCCTAAAGCACTAATGAAAACATACTAACCCTCAAGGGTTCTTATTTTATTGGTTCAAGTCTGCATTCTACATAACCTTGTAAACATTTTTCCTGCTTGCACAGGTTCAGTCACTGGAGCTGTTCATGTGCAGATTTGTAAGGCAGGCTAAGTGCAAGTACCAATACTGTGCTAGGGAAGGACCCAAACATCCTGCAGCAGGCACAGACTAAGGTTCCTTCCCTGCTGTTTGCTGAGTGCTATACAGTGTTACCCAGGATCTCCTCAATAACATGCTGCCTCTCAGCCTGCTGGGGCTTTTTATGCTTCAAGAAATTTTGTCTTGCACTGTATTCCTTTTCATTCTTTTCCTGCCCCCTTCCTTGCAAAATACTTTCTGGGTGCTCAAAAGGCCTTAGCATAGTTTGATTTTTTCTCCTTTTCACGACAAGTAATCCCTTCCTTGCTTGCCTGGTCCTACATTCCCTTAGCTGAGCACATGGTTGACTTGACAGCTGGTATGTCAGCTGAGTTAAACAAAACTCCTGGGTTTTGAAGGTAAGTCCACCATAAATTAAACTACCTGACAAGGTCTGAAAAGGACATAATTAATGAGTTATTTGTGTTACACTAAAGTCAGCATAGCTGCAAGAACATATTAATTGTAAGCATTTTACTTAACCCCAGCATGACACAATTGGCAGACAAGAAGCTCATACATACTGTTTCCAGCTCTTGTAATGACAGAAATTTGTGATCAGTATTTTCTTATTTCCTGCCTTTATTTCTCTTTGCTAAGAATACATCCCAAGTAAGAGTCACAGAACTCCTTCAACCAGGATGAATTAAATGGCAGTGATTTAGAATAACAACTTATTCACCCCTTGAAATGTGACAACATTCCAAAATACCTCAATACCACATAGCAAGCAGAACCTTCCAATCCATACAAGCAGAAAGCACAGATGAATTTCACCCTCTCAGAAGTAACCTGCCTGTAGTTCAGAAAGTTCTGTACAGTTAATCCTTTCCTTAGGTTTCAAGAAAAAATGTCATATTAGTAGTCATTAGAATGACTACCAACATTCTATTTGTTTGTCCTTTTGGACGAAAAGGGGCTCAAAGCTTTTTTTCAGCTCATTAGAATGTTACCAGGGGAAAAAAAATAAAAAATGAGAGAATTGACTAAGGAATACACCCGGAAAATTAAAAAAACCCTGACTGCATGAGACTTTTGACAGTCCTCAGCTCTAAGCATGGACTGAGGAGAACCCAGGAGGGGGAGAAAGGCAGGGAGGAAACCTGATGTGTAAGGACAGGTTGATAAAGTTGTGTTTGGTCTAGCAAACAGGAGATGAAGGGCACAGCAAAGAGTGGAGTGGGGTAGTGAGCATGCAGTGAGGAAAGAGAGCACCTGCTCTGTTCCTCTGGCTTTGTGATGCTGGAGTAGCTTTCAAACAGGGGCTTAAAAAAGATTTAAAGCCATTATGAAGACAGGCTCCTTCCCCACAGCCACAGAAATTAGCAATATTCATGGAACTTGTTTTTTCACCTGATCAAGAGTTCTTTAGTTGACAAAATTAATATAAACAACAGTGATTTCCTAAGCTTTGTTACCTCAGGCTGTTCAGTTTATTTATGCAAACTACAAATGTTTAAATTGATGTAAGGGAGAAATGAATGTATTTTTGCTGGGAGTTCCATAACATGAATATTTATAAGTGGTGTAAGGTACTCACTATTTATTTCACTAACACCTACCTGTGAAGTCATGTGCCTGTTAGCAAGTCAGCCACCAGGACGATGGACTAGAGAGAATTTGAATTAAAGAGCCCTGGAGATTCCTTCCACCCTTTACAGTGTTTCTGTGAATTCTAAAAGGAAAAGAAGGCTTTCCTACATTCTTGCCTCTCTGCAGATAATGGTTGGTCATCTTCTCTCAAATACAATGAAAATCTTTTCGATTTTTATTAAAAGGCAATCTTTATTAAGCAAGGTCTCTGTCAATCCTTTAAATGTTTGCTGAGAGAGCCACTGAAAAACATAATCTTTTTCATGTAGAAAAATAATTATTTTGAGACTATTTATTACCGTGAACTTTCTCTTGCCCCCTTTGTCAATTTTTAAAATGGGATTTTCTTTGCATTAATGTATTTTCCTTCTTCTTTTTGCATGAAATTGCAGGAATATTAAAAAAACCAACAACCCACCCTTATGACATACAATGTTAAAATGCAAACAAGATAATAGGACAAAAAAATAGGTCCTTACTTGTGCTGAACTGGCATGACCTCACACAGAAATTTGATTGTTTTTCTGATAAATGCATGTCTCAGACAGGTTTTACTAAACCCTGTATGAGACTAAAAGATTTACAGCCAAAGAAATATTTTGACTCGGGGAGGCTTTCTGCAAAACCAGCTATTACTGCTCTGCCCTCCCTTCTGCTCTGAGTCCTGCAGAGCTGGTTAAAATGCAGTCTGGTATGTCTGGGTGAAACCTTTTCTCTCCACTGAAATCAATCATCTGCTGGTATTCAAACCTGCAGATTTATTTGTTTAAAGAAATCTCTCACTTGGGTAGAGAACTCATGATATGTACAAGAGAAGACATATTTGTATGCTAGTTTATATTATGTCTTTCAAAACTAAAATTACATTTCATTTTCTGTGTGATATATGTCAGGGTTTGAACTCAGCTGTTGAATTTTATTTTATTTTAATGTGTTCAATAGGAATGTTTTCTTCTATTCCATTTACCAGCATACCAATATAGCAATTTAATTCATTCTTAGAGTCAGAGAAGCATTTAGACTGGAAAAGACCTTCAAGATCATTGAGTCCAGCTGTAAACCTGACAGTGCCAAGTCCACCATGTTCTTAGCTAGTCTGAGACTATTTATTTTGTTTTAGACCCAATGGTAACTCTCAGCTTCTTCACTCAAATTAAACCCCACCTGTGAAAGCTGTTGGGCTCCAATGTTCCTTACACTCATCTTCAGCAGCAAGAGAAGGTGCCCCTGGCCTGTGGCCAGACCTCTCCTGCTTCTAACAGTGCCAATTAACTATACCAGTTAATTGTGCACAGTGACAGCTGCACAGGGAAAGGTGCAGGAATGATTTGTTACTTTAAGATATGCTTGGGCATGAG